GGTAGTTGGCGCAGATTGTGGGGTCTCCTTTTTTGAGGATTGGGCATAGCACACTTAAATTCCAATCGTTGGGCATGCTTTCGTCCGACCATATTTTAAAAGAAGCTGATGCATGCTCCTTATCAGCTCTTCGCCGCCGTGTTTGAATAGCTCGGCCGGCAATCTATCGGCCCCCGCCGCTTTGTGGGTTCTTCAGGCGGGTAATTGCTATTCGAACTTCTTCCTGGTCGGGCAATGGAACGTCTAATATACTCTGGGCATCGGTGACTAGATCACTTTTGGAGGTTCTACAAGAGACATTGTTGGTGGTGCTCCAGTCTTGAAACCTTCTGTAAGCCGCCGCATTTTTTCGTAGAAATTTCGAGCATTACCCCTATCGGCCAACTTATCAAGCTCTTCGTACTCACGCTTTCGGCCTCTTTCTTTTTCTGTCTGCAAATGCGTCTCGCTTCCCTCTTCAACTCTGGGTATCTATCCCATCCCGCACGTTGTTGAATTACATACGTGAAACTAAAAGTAAAAGTTCGAATTCTGCCCTACTGGGCAGTAGTATGGCGGACATTCGTACGAAAATTCAACTACCGGAAGCCAATTAATAGGGTTCAGAGGCCCATTGCGCTGTGCATAAAGGAAGCTTTAAGAATAGCTCCCCAACTGGCACTAAACCTGTATCCCGGAGACCTTTTTGCTGATAGCTGTGCAGCAAAATCGGCGGGAAGACTACTGACTGCAGGAGGATTTACATATAGCATCTTCGGGTATAGCTCGGTGGATATTGGCAGGGCAAACACCGACTACTTGATTCCACTATCCAACTCGGAAAGAATATTCAAGGTAAACCTAGGTAAAGATGGCTGCCGTAAAGATAAGTTAGCTACGCGCAACACTCTAAACATCTATACTAATGGTTAAAAAATGGACGATGGAGTGGGTGTGGGAATATACTGTTCAGAGTTAGGCATAAGGCAACCTTTTAATTTGCCGGACCTCTGCCGTATATTTCAAGCTGAACGCTTTGCTACTGCGAAAGCTGGTCTGTAATGCACCTGCAGGCAATTCCAGAGTCAACATCTACGTAGCCAAGCAGATATTAAGGCAGTATCCTTGTATCGCATATCGTCCAGAAGCGAAAGCAGAGCAGCAGTAGAAACTGTTGCTAGAAGGAAGCAACTTCACTTCTACTGGGTGTTAGGTCACAAAGGCATATAGGGCAATACAATAGGGAACGAGATTGCGCACAATGGTGGACGGCCAAAAAAAAAATTTAAAAAACCTTACATTGTCTGGTGGCAACACACGGTATCATACACTGGAGGAGGTATCGATAGTGCAGTAGCAGAGCCTGTTAAAATTCGTTGCAAGTGCGGGAATCCTAAACTACTAATAAATGCCTACTCCTCTTGGACCTTGCGACTGTTAAAATTCGACTGAACTCCATCTGGTATTTCAAAGGACCAAAATGGTCTATGCGTGGCTTAACCTAACCAAACCTAAGAGTAAAAGTAAAAGTATTTTTCACTGCAGTTATGTTCTTTTCTAAATACGAGTATATCAGTTGTAATATGAACAGAGACACACCGTGGCGTATACTTTACTGCTTTATCACCAACTATTTGGACTAATTACAAGTTACTCATACGCCACGTGACTCAGTCACACACAAATAAGGAACGTTTTTGCTAATACTGGAGAATATTTTGGTTTTTTAATTGAAAAAAAAAAATATTGAATTGAAGTCCCGTGAGAACTGTAATAATGCGTAACTAACTCAAAATATCGCCATACGGGAACTAAAATTGATACAGTGATTTTCTTTATGTAAGACAGAACCTCACCCAATATATATGTATACATATATAACTAATTAATAGGATTTTATTGAATACTGTTATTCCCATGGTATGGAAATGCAAATCCATATATTTAACGTAAGCTGTCGTTCCATTTTCTAAAGAACCAAATAGATAGTATTTGGTTTGTATGCCGGAAAGGATGGAAAACTATTTTTTTAATAATAACTACGGACGCTGATTCTGACGAAAATGTGTTTGTTGGAAAATATAGCAAACATTGAAAGACTAAAATTGAAGCTTTTTTTTTAAGCAGATGACCAGAAACCACACATTCACTAGTAATACCTTTAGGTCAGACCATATACTTTTGCTTAACTTTACTTCAGACATTTGCTTTGACAGATAAGTTCATTGTATGTTTTTATATAATTTTATTCACATCGTGGCAATGAAAGCAGAATGTTGTTCAACTCTTAACATTTCAACAGGAACAGTCACTACAAAAGCACTTTCTGTGCTTCATTTGACATACCCTTTGCTTTCTTTTGCTTTTGCATTAGTTCTTGCTTATCAGTTGTCAGTACCGTCGATATCGGACCGCTATTGAATATAGCTGTCATACAAACGGGTTACCTAAATGAAGTCTTTGTATGGAAAACTGTTTTATTTGAAAAAATATCTTTAAGCAAAGAGTTATTTGTTGGATGCTGACTATGTTTTCAGATTTAGTTTTACATATATTTGATCTTATAAATGGACCTGTGAAAGGAATTATAGCTTCAACGCACTTGAAGTTTATATGTTATTTTGTTTGCGTTGAATTGGACTGTTTTTTTGGTAAATATATTGATTTTTTTTTTATGAAATTGGTTTTTACTTTCGAATGTAATATTTACACAATAATTCCTTAGTTCACTTAAACAACTAAAAAAACAAAATAAGCAAAATTATTCTCATATTAAAATTACCCATAATCCACAGGAATATAATAATCATCTCACAGAAAATTCTAGTATGAATTCCGATGTCACTTTAGCATAAAGTATTAATTTGTCTGTTAGTTTTTTTTTAAATTTAACCAAACTCACCCATTTTACTTAATTTGTTATTTCACAAAAATTCCACTTCATCAATGCGAAAACCTACTTTTGTTGCAAAATAAGCAAAGTTTTCCGGTTTCCATGGGAATGTCATGCAAAAACAGCTCGCAAAAGTAATGATAACTTTGGCAAGTAGGACAATATTTGCCACATTACTGTTGAATGAGTTAAGGTAGGACAGCAAGTTTATATGTTTCGTTAAAGCGAATACCGATGCAATGATGGAGCATACTTGTGGCCCCTGCTCTACCCCTGCTATGCTATTGACAAAACAAAATGTTTCCATAACTAACTAGACTCTCACAAATATTTATTGTATATATATGTAAATAAATACAAACTTTCCAGTCGCTTTGATATTCAGCGCTTTATTCAGCTATTGTTATTTTAAGTTGAATAAGTGCTAAGAGCCAAATACATGAATAGTCTTGTAATTGCAGCCTAAATTTTAATATGCTCTTACCAGTTAACATTAATCACACTTAGAGATCTGTCAGCTTATGGACCAATTCGCTTTTAGTCAGAATTTGGTTTGGTGATCTTCGAATATTAATATATTAAAATGTAAATATTTATTAACGCATTCATGATATGCTCCAAAACCAAGAATGTCAGTCAAATTATTCATTAGTGATAAGTCGGCTGAGATGGCAATCAGGGTCTTCAGAGCCTTCCGAAAGTTTTGATTTTTCAGTTTCAGCTCATTTTTGGAGCGCGATTCTAGATTGTTGGACATCTTCGACGTCATATTCACAAACCTACGTTTGTGCGCTTGTACTCAAGCAATTTTTTTTTGCGCCTCTCTGACTGTACTTTTCGACCTCCACTGAATGCTTTGTGCCCCTATACCTAATACCTATGTTCATAATAAAGTAGACTTCACAAAATACTGTTGTAACATTTTCAACGACTCTCTTAACGGGATTCTGTTGGAAACACAAAATTTCAAGAAAACTAATTTCAAAATTTCTAGTAACTCACAATTTTGTCGTAAAGTTTGACATTTTCGATGTTATACATACTCAAAATGTGTTTATGTTTTTACATAATAGCACTATATGGGTTATTTACAGTGACTTAAAATATTCATCTCGGCCAAAATTGCGGTTTTAATCTCGAAGAATTTTACGCGATTATTTTTTACAACTTTCGACGCGGATTAACTCAACAAGAGTCCAGCGATGAACTTAATTCAACTTTCGACTATGAAGCTTCATCCAGAACGAATGCTTAACGATGGTATGTTGAATCCAATCGCGGTCATGGATCAGTACAATACTAATTTCTTGAAGGTTGTCCCAAATCAGATTTTGTTCAGGAAACTCTTGATGCTGTGCGAAAACTGATATTGCACGATCGTCTGTGGGATTGAGACAACTAATCAAGAAATCAGGAAAACCAACCACCGAAGACACCCTTCACTACGTCAATGCGAGCTCTCACACATCCACTGAAACAAATGCTTTTTTTGAGCCCTTAAAACATCGATTTAATGAATAATCGAATGTAAGGTTTGACACCGAATTTTTATTCTGGTTCGAAAAAAATTAACTAATAGATCAACGGTTTATGACACCTGAACAGGCGGTTGAAGGCATGTTTTGGAGATACCAAAGATATCAGTGTGGTGAAAGTGCTTTGAGAATTGGTTCAAACGCAAGCAAAAGTGTAACATTTTTAAAAACAAGAAAACGATTTCGATTGATTAAAATTTGTTTGTGTTCTCGAATCGCGAAATATAAAAGGTAACCTAAGTATAAATTTTGACCATCAAGTGTCTTGATAGCTCATTTCACAAAATTCTAGTCCTAATTGACGTAACAACAGGTTTGAAAACACAGAAACAGCTGAAAAGTAAAAAAATTCCGTAACATATTTAATTTTTTTTTTGTAATTTTTCAATTTTTATTCAATTATACATTTTTTTAAATATCAGTTTGTAATATTTTCCGTCACTTTCGTTCATGTATGTATGTAATTGTTTGTATGTTTCACAGTTGTTGTTTTTATTTTATTTTTTTATTAATTTCTTATTATCATTATACACTTATTGTAATTATCATTTTCGTCTCAATATTTTGTTTTGCTTGCTATTTTGTCTTTTGACATTGTTATGTTGCTTTGTTTGCTCTTATTGTTTTGGTTGTGTGTGTGAGTGTCTTTCTCATTATTAGGTATTATTATTTTATTAAATATAATTGCTAAAACTGTTAGTTAACATCTAAATATATATATTATTTGTTGCTTCTTTATTACAAGTTCTGTATTCATGTTGTTGCATTTTCATAATTTAATTCAGTTTTTGTGTTTTTGTATTCTGTTTGTGTTTTATTGTTTTGTTTTGTATTTGTATTTGTGTTTGTGTTGTTCTCTTATTTTGTTGTAATTTCTTATTTGTGTGTTGTTGGCTGCATCTGCAATACATGCAATACTCTCTTAGTACAATGAATCATTAATCGTTAATAAAATTCAAATTCAATTTAATTGCTATTTCGAAAACTGTTTTTCTATTTTTGCTCTCTCTGCCTCTTCTATTTCTATTTTATTGCAATTTAAATACGCCGCTTAAACAATTTAGCGGCTCTGCTAACTGTAAATAACTTGCTTAGATTATTATTTTTTTATGTAAATTATTAATTTCTACACGTAAGTAA